TTCTTGTCCAAATGGTGAGAACCAAGCAAACCGTTTGACCACCTGCAAAGTGAATGCTGATTTCATGGGTAGGGTATAAACAAAGAACTGTACAGCAGTTGATACACCAGCTCAATGTATAGTCGCAGACACGAACACATGAATGAACACACACACACACACACACACACACACACACACACACACACACACACACACACACACACATCAACAGAGTGGTTATGCTCCCAGTCCAACTAGCTAGCAGATGTAGACCTCCAGGGGTCAGGGCCTGGGTAATGATTAAACAAGGGAACTTCTAGAAGACTACAACCTCTCCCTCAACTTGAGCAAGACAAAGGAGCTGATCGTGGCCCCAGGAAAAGGAGGGTCGAGCACGCCCCCATTCACATCGACGGGACTGTAGTGGAGCGGGTCGAGAGCTTCATGTTCCTTGGTGTCCACATCACTAAGGACCTATCATGGTCCAAACACACCAAGACAGTCGTGAAGAGGGCACGACAACGCCTCTTCCCCCTCAGGAGGCTGAAAAGATTTGGCATGTGACCTCAGATCCTCAAAAAGTTCTACAGCTGCACCATCGAGAGCATCCTGACTGGTTGCATCACCGCTTGATATGGCAACTGCTCGGCATCCGACCGCAAGGCGCTACATAGGGTAGTGCGAACGGCCCAGTATATCACTGGGCCGAGCTTCCTGCCTTCCAGGACCTCTATACCAGGCGGTGTCAGAGGAAGGCCATAAAAATTGTCAAAGACTCCAGCAACCCAAGTCATAGACTTAACTCTGCTACCACACGGCATGCAGTACTAGAGCGCTAAGTCTGGGATCAAAAGGCTCCTGAACAGCTTCTACCCCCAAGCCATAGGACTTCTGAACAGTTAATCAAATGGTTACCCGGACTATTTGCATTGACCCCCTTATTTTATTATAATTTTTTGCACTGACTCTCTTGAAAATGCTCGATGTACACTCACTGGACTCTAACCACACACTCACACATACTACACTGACACTCCAACACAGAGACACACACACACACACACACACACACACACAAAACACACACACAAACACACATACATTCACATTCCTTCACACTCTTCACATACGCTGCTGCTACTGTTTATTATCTATGTATAGTCACTTTACCCCTACCTACATGTACATATTACCTCGACTAACCCGTACCCCTGCACATTGACTCGGTACTGGTACCCCTCGTATATAGCCTCGTTATTGTTATTTTATTGTTACTATTTTTCCTTTAGTTTATTTAGCAAATGTTTCTTACTTACTTTTTAAAAACTCTGTTGGTTAAGGGCTTGTAAGTAAGCATTTCAAGGTAAGGTCTGCACCTGTGGTATTCGGCGCATGTGACAAATATAATTTCATTTGAAGACAAACATAATGATGAAGGGGCGGAAAAAGATGAACAAGTAAGAAGGTTGAACAAGTAAGAAAGGGGGTGGTGGTGTGGGGAAAGGGAAAGGAGGGAGTTTACTTGAGCAGTGGCAACAAACAGCTTGAAGTGTCACACTTCTTCATGCACACACACATAAACACCAGAATGTTTTTTTTTGTCCGCGCTACAGACGGCTATATCGGCCCGCTAATAAAGGACTAGTAAAGGCCCAGTGCACTACGTTTGTGAAGGAAAAAAAAGTGGGAGTTGGGGGCTGTTTTTGTGTAGGAGGCTAAAGTCACCCTCAGTGGCAGATGGCAGATCAGGCCCTATATGGGGAAGGGAGTAGGGGAGGAGAGGGGGCTGACCCAAAGTCACAAATGTGTTTGGGGTCAGGGTTCAGGGAAGCATCTGCTCTGGCCCTGAGGGGACATTACATTGCTGGGAGAGACCTGTTGCTGTGGTGTGTTGCCGAGGCCTGATGGGTTTTACAGCGTGGGGGGGGGGGGGGGGCTGACTTCAGGACAAAGAAGATCCGTTACAGTGAGGGGATGGGGGAAACACACATAGGCAGGCACGCGCATAAATATGCAGACACACACACACACAGACTCCACCTCCGTCTTTGTCTTTATTCGTCTATTTCGCACAAACACAACTCTCTCCATACATATTGTACAATAGTACTGTGAGCCCCTGACACATCCAAAAAAGGTTATCCTGCTGGACGTATTGAGTCATGTTACAGTGAAAAGTGAAGTCTGCATGGGAGGCAAAGAAACTTCAAAGACACGGTTTTGCCAATTGCCTCTGGTTGGACCCCTGGGGAGGGTAGAGCGGTTAGCCTCACCTCCAGTCCTCATATCGTAGTGAGTCAACCACAGAGTCTCCCAACAGGCACGTGTGAGGTCTGAGATGAGGGCTGTAAAAATTACAAAAAAAAACAGGGCTGAGAGCAATGACTGTATATATGAATGGACAAAGCCATCAATCACGTGACACCATTCATTCCTATGTGAAGACTCAATAGCGCATTGAAGCCAAATAAAGTCGGTTAAGATGGCGTCGCATGGAGACATAACATGCGCAGTTTGAGCCACTCCAGGGTGACGTTGCAGGCTAGCTCAGTGCTGCCTCCTCTCATTGAGTAACTCCAGTTGAAGGCAGAACGGGGTACTGCAGGCTGCCATTAGCAACTAAATTATCCTTAACTTCGTCTGTGTGCGATTAAAAAAATAATCTGTTCAAGGACATACATCTGGTGCATTACAAACAATTATTGGTACCATGGTTGTCTTCAGAAAATATATTTTTCTATACACGAAGATTCACCTCGGCAGATTTTTCCATTCACTGTAATGGTGGAATCTGTTTTCTGCAGTACCGTGGTCGGCCTTGAACTTCTGTGGCTTAAATGAGAGGGGCAGTCGTTCTCCCCTGGCTGAGCGTGAAAGAGATCATGGGTCATCACTTTCATGGCAGTAAAGCTTTTTTTGAATTTGAGAGGGAGAGAGAGAGGATTCACAAGTGAGAGTATTTAGAGGAAGTAAGCAGTGGTGTTGCATGGTGTACTGAAACTTCTGTACTTTTTCGACACTATAACACAAAACGCTCAGGTGTTAGAATTTGTTACTTTCTGTTCTTCTATAAAAATGTGTTGCACATTTTGGAAATCACCTAAATGTATTGAACTTATTAGAAAATTAATTAATTAGCCCAAGCTTATCATAAAACATGAACAGATTGCGTCAATGATTCGTATTCCCTGCGACTTTCTGAAGAGGTAACGGCACGGGAATGCCCCTGTCTGTGTGTGCGGTGCGTGTATGTCTACCACTTTGTGTAGCCGTTAGTGATGCTAATGATAACCGTCTTCAGGTAGATGGAAAGGCTTTCCCAAAAATCTTATTAATTAAAAGTTAAGTACAAAGTAGCCTATACCTACCTGGCAGAATCATGATTATTTATGTCAATCCAGTGGGCATTTGTTTTGCAATCTCCATCTCATGTGCGCTACAGAAACCGCTAACCAAACAACAGTGCTAGCTGCATGCACACTTGAATTAAACTGGGAAAAATCTGTCCTTAAATTTTTTTTTTGCTGTGGTATTGTTTTGGTATCGAGTATCATGATACTAAACCTGGTATCGGTATCAAAGTGAAAACTCAGGTAACGTGACCATACTAGGTGAAAGGGTGACTCCGGTAAAGGTCTCCACACAGTTAATGTACGTCGATGTGCTCTTGGGTGGAGTCATATTTTTTGTAGCAACAAGCACCTTTTGGTAACGTGATACCCTCGCCGTTCCATGTGTTCCTAGACCCCCGAATAGCAATATTCACAAGGGGGCGATAGCAGAAATTTCCTTTTCATCTGCCCATTTGTGGTAAAAGCAAAGAAGAATCATGTTGAAAGCATCACCAAAGAAAATCAATTGCATAGTTGAGTAATAGCTACATGTAATGAAAGTTTAGGTTTGTTTTACATTACCTTGTTTTGTGCCTGCCAGTTAGCTGTAGGCTACTCCTCTAGCAGCTTGCTAGCTAGCTGTCTAAAAACAGCACGCAAGCTAGCCTTTTAGCTTCCCACATGTGAAATAATCTGATTTATAATTAAATAATATGCCCTGGCAAATATTATTATACTTACCAGTGTAACCTACAACATCATCCCAGTTTGATATGCTGCTTGAATGTATATTTCGCTCCCATATCAGCTAAAAATAGAATGTCATCATGTTTGGTCACAGAGAAAGCACATGGCTAGTAGCTATTTTTACCATTTGAAAATAGCCTGGAATCGTGTAGTTATACTTCTAAACAAAATACCTTTTGGGGGGGGGGGGGGGGGGGGGGGGGGGAATTGTAATAAGGCTACCATGTTGTTTGGTTTATTGTTTGAACAGTCCCTGAGATTATATTTGGTTATCAATGCATAGCCTATATAGATCAAATCAAGGAACCAAGCGAGTTTGGTGGTAAAATACAGGTTAATTGCGTACACAACACTTCCCCCACGGCTGTGCAAGGAAGACGCTCCTTTTGTGACGAAAAACGCATCTGCCCTCTAGAGGACAGCATCCCACCTCTAGAGGACAGAGAGGAGGGGAGAGGGGGAGGAGGTGTGCCTAACAGCTGCCTTCATTAACATGCGCACCTGCTCCCTGTGGAGATTCTACGAGGCCAACAGATGCCCTCTCTGACATGCATAGACACACTTACACTCCCTCTCTATCTCTCTCTCACACACACACACGATTAAAAACACAGATTCTCTAGATCGCAGTCTAGATCTCTTAGTATAAACGTTAGATTATTACAGTGCTGCCTAGTCAGACTAGTTTTCCCCTGCTAACCACATCTGCTGCCAGGGTTGGGGATGGGGGTGAGGGTCTTTCTGGGAATAAAGAGGGTGTCTCATGATGTGATGATGGTTGGGGGTGGGGGGAGGGTTGGACAAGGAGACTGTTGCTGTGTCTGACTATGGTGGGAGTGTGGAGGAGGGGCACAGAGGGGCTTAGTAGCCTTAATGCGGTGCTCCATGTCTGGGCAGCTGGGCCGATCAGGGCCCCTTGATCTCTAGGGTCATGACGGGATGAGGGTGGACAGCCTGGGTTGGAAAAGGTAGCTGGGAACGGGACGGCACAACGAGACTGTCCCCAAAGCCTGTTTTTGGTGGCGTCTGTTGTCCCAGCAGAGTGTGTTTTCAAAGTTCTGAGGGACATTTAATCCAGGGAGACACACTAGAAAAACAGCCCACCCTGGCCTGGCTCTCGCTCCATCCCTCCCTCCCTCCCTCGCAGGGCTGCTGTGGGCCTCTGTTGAGCGGGAAACTGAGAGGGCCACTATCCACACCCATCCTCTTGCTTCCCTCCACTCCTGGCTCGTTAGTATCATGTGTTGATATAGAGTTTGGGGAGATACAATTCTATTGTACTGCTAAGAGAAACTGCAATATAATTCCACCACATTCTATCCTCATATCCTCCACATAAAACAAGTGGTTCACTTTAGACTGTTTTAGACTGTTTTCCACCTGTGTTTCGACCGCCTCTAACTGTCACTGGTCTCCTTTCTCTCCAGGTGTACAAGTGACTACGTGGGTAGCCGCTGCCAGTACCCCAACCCCTGCAACCCCTCACCATGCCGCAACGGCGGCGAGTGCCGCGCCGTATCCCACGGCAACACTTTTGACTTCCGCTGCATATGTCGGCTGGGCTTCTCCGACCAGCTGTGCCTGACGCCTACCAACCACGCCTGCATGAGCTCGCCCTGTCGCAATGGAGGGACTTGTGACCTGATCACGCTCTCCGACTACCGCTGCCGCTGCCCGCCCGGCTGGTCAGGTAAGATATTAAGATGTATATTTTTAAGGTCATTTCTGATTTTAGTGAGCAGATAGTGGGAGAGGATGACAGTAGGGAAATCTAGAGATACACTATCTATACAAAAGTATGTGGACACCCCTTCAAATTAGTGAATTTGGCTATTTCAGCCGTGCAATCTCCATAGGAAAACATTGGCAGTAGAATGACCTTACTGAAGGGCCCAGTGGCTTTCAGCGTGGCACCGTCATAGGATGCTACCTTTCCAACAAATCAGTTCGCCCTGCTAGAGCTGCCCCGGTCAACTTTAAGTGCTGTTATTGTGAAGTGGAAACGTGTAGGAGAAACAACGGGAAACGTCTAGGAGAAACAACGGCTCAGCAACCAAGTGGTAGGCCACACAAGCTCACAGAACGGGACCACCGAGTGCTGAAGCGCGTAAAAATCATCTGTCCTCGGTTGCAACACTCACTACCGAGTTCCAAACTGCCTCTGGAAGCAACGTCAGCACAATAACTGTTCGTCGGGAGTGTCATGAAATGGGTTTCCATGGCCGAGAAGCCACACACAAGCCTAAGATCCCCATGCGCAATGCCAAACGTTGGCTGGAGTGGTGTAAAGCTCGCTGCCATTGGACTCTGGAGCAGTGGAAACACGTTCTCTGGAGTGATGAATCACGCCTCCCCATCTGGCAGACGAATCAGGGTTTGGCGGATGCCAGGAGAACCATACCTGCCCGAATGCATAGTGCCAACTGTAAAGTTTGGTGGAGGAAGAATAATTGTATGGGGCTGGTTTTCATGGTTTGGGCTAGGCCCCTTAGTTCCAGTGAAGGGAAATCTTAACGCTACAGCATACAATGACATTCTAGACGATTCTGTGCTTCTAACTTTTTGGCAACAGTTTGGGGAAGGCCCTTTCCTGTTTCAGCATGACAATGCCCCTGTGCACAAAGCGAGGTCCATACAGCAATGGTTTGTCGAGATCGGTGAGGAAGAACTTGACTGGCTTGCACAGAGCCCTGACCTCAACCTCATCAAATGCCCATGATTTTGTAATGAGATATTCAATGATTAGGTGTCCACATACCTTTGGTCATGTAGTGTAGGTTGTTTCAAAGGGCAATAGGCTGGGTTCGAACTAATGCCGACACTGTAAACGTGTGCCGGAGGCTGCAGCATTACCGTTCGGTCTAGCCAGGACACACAAGGTTTTAAGACGCTGTGTTAGGGGCCAGAAGATTTTCCTGTTCAGGTCACATGGTCAGAGACTGGGAACTCCTGGCTCTATCGATTTTTCTATTGAATTCACAACTTGATTATTCCCTCTGGAGTAATTTGATGGTTGTGGTTGAAGTGTACCCAGCTGGCACATTTGGTTCCTTGGAAGTTGTGGGAATGTACGTTTTTGGTTTTCCATTGGTTCTGGGAACGAAGCCATAAGTACCGGTAAAACAGAACATTTTAAAAACATTCTGAGATGGGAAGTGACATTTTGCCTGTTCTAGGAACCTGAATTTTTAAGTTGCAGGGAGGTTCTGATAATCTTTTACTACTGAACGTTTTCCTGGGAGGTTTTATTAACATTCTGAGAGTGGAGATTTTAGGTTATTTGGAGTTTTTTTAATAACCTCCTTAACTTTCACTGAATGTTTCAATAATACTTTTAATAACACTGCTAGATTAGTTTGTGTTAACTGTTTTGAATTCCAAGCACAGATATGACACATGGAAATTAATTTGCTTCCACATGAATCATGCAAACATCTTTTTTCTTTTTTGTGACATGCTGTCAGTGAGATTCAAACCTATGGTCTTCTGTCCTCATACCAATGGAATTAGCCCAATGTGCCACCAGGATGGAGCTAGCATGCCATGTTTTTTTTTTACTCATACAAAGCTGTTCATTTTAGTCTATTCAAACAGACCCCATTTAAAAGGAAACAAGCACTCACTAAGATCAGGTGTGGCCAATTAGTGGGCGCGGCCAACATACCTGAAAACACTTAACAGGATTGAGGATAGAGAGAGTTTTGTTGATTCTGAGAACGGAATGTATATATTTTTGTTAGCTATATGTGTGACAACTCCACCAGTCCTATTTATAATATAGTTTACAAAGATTATACCGTTTTTAATGTTTATCTTCCAAAAAATAATGATTTTTAAAATCAATTAGTATATTTGAGTTTAACCATAGTATTGGTTGTAATATTTGTTCTGTCTTTTCTGGTGGATTAAACTGAAATTACAACCAACTTTCTATGGCTTGTTTAACTATAGCTACACAATCCCCCGAACTCAACCAAATTTAGATGGTTTGGGGTGAGTCGGACTGCAGAGTGAAGGAAAAGCAGCCAACAAGTGCTCAGCATATGTGGGAACTCCTTCAAGACTGTTGGAAAAGCATTGCAGGTGAAGCTGGTTGAGAGAATGCCAAGAGTGTGCAAAGCTGTCATCAAGGCAAAGGGTGGCTATTTGAAAAATCTCAAATATAAAATATATTTTGATTTGTTTAACACTTTTTTGGTTACTACATGGTTCCATATGGGTTATTTCATAGTTTTGATGTCTTCACTATTATTCTACAATGTAGAAAATATTTAAAAAATAAAGAAAAACCCTTGAATGAGTAGGTTTTCTAAAACTTTTGACCGGCAGTGTATATTTTGGAGATTATTTCATTTTCAAATAACTGAAAGTGAGAGGTTGTAATCTGAATAAAGGGGAAAAAGGCCGTTCTTGGACATGGGGTGAGACATTCTTACTAATCTGCTAGAGAACCAGTTCGGTTTTAAGTATAACGTTTGAATGACTGAAGCCTTTAGTGAGAGGTCTAATGCTTTAATATTTAATCATTTCTGCCCTCTGAATTCATATTCATTATATATATATAGGCCCTTTTAATTTTGTTTGGCTTGCCATTCCAAACAAAATTTAATATTTTTTGCTCATATAATTTAAAAAACAAGTCGATAGGTGTAGGCAAGGCCATAAGCAAATGGGTAAACTGGGATATGACTAAAGAGTTAATCAGGGTGATTTTTTTCACAAATAGACAGGTATTTTTCTTTTCCATGGTTTCCAACTTTCTATTAAAATGTATTGTATTGAGAATTTATTGATTTCGGGATATGAATACCGAGTATGTTCAGTTCACCGTCAGACCATTTTATTGGTAAACTACACAGTAATGTAAAAGTTGTATATTTTAGTGATCCAATACGTAATATAGTACAGTTATCATAATTTGGTTGTAATCCAGAGATGTTAGAACAATTATCTAGATCCTATGAGGCTGTGGACGGATCCAAATTGTGGATTAAAAAAAATATGAATCATCAGCGTACAATGGCACTTTTGTTTTAAGCCTTGGATTTCTAGCCCCTTGATATTATTGTTGGATCTGATTTTAATAGCTAACATTTCGATGGCCATAATAAATAAATATGCCGATAGTGGACAACCTTGTTTTACTACTCTTGACAGTTTAATACTTTCTGAGAAGTAGCCATTATTTACTATTTTATACCTAGGGTTACTATACATAACTATATTTTAACCCATTTTATAAGAGATTCTCCAAAATTGAAATATTCCAAGCATTTATATATAAATTCCAGTCGTACTTTATCAAAAGCCTTTTCAAAGTCAGTTATGAATACCAGGCCTGGTTTCCCACATTTTTCATAGTGTTCTATTGTTTCCAGTACTTGTCTTATATTATCTCCAATGTATCGTCCATGTAAAAAACCTGTCTGATTTAGGATTAATAATATCCGACAATACCTTTTTTAAATTCTATGCGCTATGCGTTTTGCTAGAATCTTTGCATCACAACACTGAAGTGTAAGGGGCCTCCAGTTTTTTTAATGGACTGGATCTTTATATTTAACATTTGGGTCCTGTTTCAGTAATAATGAAATCAGACCTTGTTGAGTATCTGAAAATCTACAGTTTTTATAGGAGTGGTTAAAACATCCTAATAACGGTGCTCTGAGTACATCAAAAAGGTTTGGTATACCTCAACTTGTATGCCATCCAGCCCTGGAGTTTCCCCAGACTTAAAGGCTTTAATTGTATCAAGAAATTCCTCCTCTGTAATTTGGCCTTCACATGAGTCTTTCTTCTGAACAGCTGTTCATTTTACATTATTAATAGAAAAAGATCCTTACAATTCGGTTAGTGGAGATGGAGGAGATTGAAACAAAAACATATGCTTAAAGTACTTTGCTTCCTCTTTCAAAATATCGTTTGGTGAATTATGGTCATTTGTTTCAGTAAATTATTTTTTGGTAGCTTTTCTATGTTGAAGATCCAAAAAAAATAATTGGTGCATTTTTCCCCATATTCCATCCAGTTCACTTTATTTTTATATTACGCTTGATCTTTGTTGAATAAGTTCCTCCATTTGTTTTTGTTTTTCCTCTAACTTATTATGTGCCGCTATGGTACAGTTTTATTGCTATCTATCTGTACTGTTAGTCCCTCTATTTTGTTTGTTAATATGAACTCTTTTGACCTAAATTGCTTTTGTTTTAAAGATGAGTATTGAATTGCATTGCCTCTAAAGGCACATTTAAGTGTCCCATATAATAAGGGGATCTGCTGTAGCTATGTTATGTCGGAAAAAGTAAGTTATAAATTATTCTGTCCTAGTTAAAAACAAGTTGTCATCCAATAGGCTTTTGATTAAATGTTAAATATCCTCACCCACGTGGAAATTCTGTAAGTGTAAAGTATATGCCAATTATTTGATAGTCTGACCGCATTCTGTCTGCTATCAACACTTTTTTTAAACTTTTGGTGCCAGTGAGAATTACATAAGAAAGTAGTCAAGACGACTAGCTTGATTGAGCCTCCACCATGTATATCTCACTAGGTCAGGATATTTAAGCCTCCATATATCCACTAGTTCCAATATATCAATGATAATCCTGATTTCCATTAACTGCATGAGGGTGATAGTTTGTGGTGTGATTTCCTTTACGGTCCATTGCGGTATTTTAAACCGTATTATAATCTCCCTCCATAATAAGGGAGATTATAGTCTTGTCTGTTTTCCACACAACTTCATCTAAAATTGTTGAGTGAGTTTCCTGTAACAATAGATATTATATTCCTTCTCTTTTAGCCAGGTAAATACTGATCGTCTTTTCTTATTATCTGCTAAGCCATTACAATTATAACTGGCAATACTTATTTCACCATTTACCATAATGAGATACAAGTTTCAACTCTATTTATCATAATATATGTTTATAAACTTACCATTAAAAAGTACCGTCATGATTGAGTGTCCATATAGCTGTACCATGATATTTGCACTGCTACTAAGTAAACCTCCAATTGTTGATCTATGGGTCTTTAGCTAAGTCCAGCTAACCTTTTGATATGCTGATGATATGCTGAGCATCATGACTTGCTTACATTTTTTACATTTAGTTATGCTCATGTCAGTTATTTTATTTGTCCTTCCTCTCTTCTTAAGGGATAGAGTCCAGACAAGCTATTTTAGGAAACGTTATATTAGGCCTATAGTGTAATGCTAAAATAATGTAGCATATCAAATGAATTGACAAGGAAAGTTTGAAGAGGGAGAGAGAGACAGCTATAGTATTACTAGAGACGTTGGTTATGTCATTATTATCCCAGCATGTGCCTTATTCCAGAGGAAGATTTGCACTGGATTAGTTTTTCCTAAATGCCCCATGTAATTCTTACTTTTTTAAATTCAATTGAGTCTATGCCGGAAGCCTGGTGGTTTTCATTCTAGGCATAAGGATATTTCAACATCATGTGTAGATGATAAAAGGCTACACTGATCACTTGTGCTTCGCTGCCAAATGTATAGGTGTCCCCATAGGGTTAATATTTAAATTGAGGAAATGTGATCATAATCATTATTTTAACGATCCACGTTAGACGTCCCTCCTAGTCAAAAGGCTCTCCATCCTGCTGAAATGAACTGCTGGACAGTGCACTTGCACTTGATATGCATTTATGGATGAGAAAGTGAACTTGCCATTTCCAAAAAGGAGCTCAGTGGGGAATCGGGGATTCCCTGCTTTGCGATCTGTTGCCTACGTCAACAGCCACTGTCAGCCAGGGTTTCATTAAATAGGCCTAGGCACTATACTTTTTTATTGCACATTTAATTCAACTGACGATTTGGAGATATTCATCTTCAATTAATTGGCACAAAATGGACATCAGAAAAATATATATTTTTGTCTCTGGCTTGCATAACATAGGTGGTGGTCGCCTAAATTCATTGTAGTAGGCAAGGCCTAATATATAGGCTAGCATACGAATGGTGGATTAATAGCCCAGCCTATTAATTAACTTCTAATTTACACATCTCAGTCTTTACTTCTCTGTTCCCTTCTTGCGCAATTCATGCATCTCCGCTTGCATCTCCACTGGCCTCTCTCTCTTCCATCCTCTCTCTATTCCTCTTATAGCTCTTGAACCAGTAGCCTAGCCCAATACGTGTCCCAGAAGTAGCAATATAGTTTGGTCACTTGTTTTGAGCAATTAAAAAATCATTATATTCGAGGAAAGAGGCACCTTGCTCTTGCTTGCTGGATATAAAATAGGCTACAGCTTTCACAATGAACTAGCAGGGAAGTTTGAATGGCAAGAGCTTCTCTGGTGTAATGTGATCACATTGGCTGGTGGTAAAAATGCAATAAACGGGAATCTTCCGTTCTCCACACGCCCCCAATGTTTATGTTTACAATTAAATGTATTACGTCAGCATGCCCAATGTTACCAATCAAATGTATAAATTAAAGTTTTCATATCAATTTAATTTGCATAAATATTGTGATTGGATGATAGCTGTGAGGGTTGTTGAATCAGGATTAAATCCTCTGATCTCCTCGAGCTCAATAATGATATAATGTTCATATTTGAAGATTGCCGAAAGGCCAGTCTCTTTGGGAAATGATAGGAGTGGAATGTAATAGCTGAACAGAGACGGCAACCAGGCTAATGAGATACCAAGTAAATAACGTTTATATAAGTTCCTTAAATGTGCTGAGAATGTTCCAAAGCCAATCAACTATCCTGCACCATTCCCAGAAGGTTGTGGGAAGGTTGTATGCAAAATAACCATAGGACAACCACACTCTCACCAAGCTCGAAGAAACATATGGTTATCAGAACATTATGTGCTAGCTGGGGATGGCCTAAATGATGTAACCAAATGAAATACTTGTTCATGCAGGTATGTTTGACGTGATTTCATTGTTAGTTTTTTCTTTGTTGTTGTCCTATCCTCCTCCTCTAGGGAAGACATGCCAGATCGCCAACCCCTGTGCCTCCAACCCCTGTGCCAACGGTGGACAGTGCTCGCCCTTCGAGTCCCACTACATCTGCGCGTGCCTGCCCGCCTTTCATGGCCAGACCTGCAAGCAGGACGTCAATGAGTGTACCCAGATGTCATCACCCTGTCGTAACGGGGGAGTGTGTGTGAATGAGGTGGGCTCCTACCACTGCCGCTGCCCCCAGGAGTACACGGGTGCCCACTGCGAGACCCCCTATATGCCCTGCAGCCCCTCTCCCTGCCACAACGGGGGCACTTGCGTGCAGAAGGGGGACACCACCTATGACTGCAGCTGCCTGCCAGGTAACCCTTCACCCCTTTGCTCAAATCTATTAAAATACTTTATCTGTGCCTGTTTGAGCGTGCCTGGCGTTGACTTTTCAATAATTTGTGTTTACCAAAGAGGTACTGGCAGGAATTGATTAATAGAGAGCTGTTGTAGCTTGGATGTGATTGGTGGATATAGGGCATTGCCAGTCTCTGGTTTCTGCTGGCAGGATATTATTGCACAGATGTTTCCCAGCTAGAACATTTGGTTCCTTGGAAGTTGTGGGAACGTACGTTTTTGGTTTCCCATTGGTTCTGGGAATGAAGCCATAAGCCTGAACGTTTTTTAAAATGTTCTGAGAACGGAAGTGAAAATTTAGCCTGTTCTGGGAACGTTAATTTCTAGGTTGGTGGGGGGTTCTGAGAACGTTTTACTATGGTTCCTGAAAGTTTTACTGGGAGGTTTTATTAACGTTGTGAGAATGGAAATTCTAAGTTATTTGAAGGTAATTCAACAACGTTCTGAGAACATGTTTCAGTAAGACTTTTAATAACACTGCTAGCTTAGTTTGTGTTAACTGTTTTAAACTCCAAGCACAGATAGGACACAAATTAATTTGCTTAGGCATTAATCGTGCAAATACATTTCTTTTTTATTGTGGCACAGTGTCAGTGAGATTCGAACCTATTAACGGTTCTCTATCCATGGAATTAGTCCACTAATTTGAGAACATGCCTTTTAAATAGAACCATGAGGAAACCTGTAGGAAACGTTATAATGAAGTACTGAAAATCCCACAGAAGAACGTTGTTTCTTAACGTTCTCTGAACTATTTTAGAAAATGTCCAAAGTCAAACCAGTTTGAGAACGTTCCTAGAATATTACCAAAATTACAATGAAATCTAACCATGTTTGAACGTTTAGGAAAGTAATGAAATACAGAGAAAATTATGTTTTTTTTGTTCCTTAAATGTGCTGAGAACGTTCCAAGGCCAAGCAACTATCCTGCACCATTCCCAGAAAGTTGTGCGAAGGTTGTATAGAAAACAACCATAGGACAACCACGCTCTCACCAAGCTCTAAGAAACATATGGTTCTACAAACGCTATGTGCTAGCTGGGTTCCCCCTGATAACTACACGCGCGCACACACACACACACACACACTCTCACACTCACACACACAGAAACACACACATCACACAGGTTTTCTGTTTTCAAACGGTTTGACAAGCCAATTGTGATTCCGCCTAGGTGGGAGAACTACAGTTGTAGAGCTATTGTGTAAGATAGTGGTTAATGGTGGTTAGGGCTGTTATGGTGACAGTATTACTGCAATACCGGTGGTCACGAGTCATGGCCGCAGTCAAATTTTACCTGGACGTTTAGTCACGGTAACTATGCTTCTCCAAAACTGCGCTCTGATGCTGCTGGTGGTCATTAGTAGCCTACTAATACTTGCTAACTGCCAGTCGCTAATGGCCTGGTACTCAGTGATCTATTGTCCCTATAATCACTCTGACGTCAATACAAATGCAATCGAAAATCAAATCAAACACTTCATGAGAGCCCATGAGCTCATGTTGCGCAACATTTCTATAGACATTTACATTTACATTTTCGTCATTTAGCAGACACTCTTATCCAGAGCGACTTACAAATTGGACTATGCAATTGCGTGAGAAAACAGTTTTGATGGCCTCTATTAAAAAGAGGAGGATCCCATCAGCTTTCTGTAGGCTTACTATATTTATTTGTCAACTTTCCTAATATTAAGCACATTGCTTTTGCTTTACAACAGGAATATAGCCTACCTGGCTGGCATGAAAATGAACAACGGGAAAAGAGTCCTCCATTCGCTATTTAAGTGCATAGATGACATGTATTTTTTCACCCTGCCCTTGTTCCGACAGGTGCATGATAATGGTCTATTCTAAATCAAAAATAATTTCACACATATTATTTAGTATTTGTAAAGACAAGATTAAATTAAGAATAGTCTGATGGGTGACTATTATCACTTGTGAATGATGCCCAGCATGTGCAGTAAGGCAAGAAACAGCACGTTTTTTTTTGTGCAAAAAAAAATCATAGTCACACACATCATGTAGCTATAGTCCATAGGCCTATATGTTTTGGTAAGGTTTGTATCACAACTAAAGTGACCAAATAACTCCAAATGTACAGTGCCGGGATAAAGTATTTGCCCCCTTTCTGATTTTCTCTATTTTTGCATATTTTCTATACTGAATTATCACATCTTCAACCAAAACCTAATATTAGATAAAAGGAAACTGAGTTAACAAATAACAAAAAATAGTATACTTATTTTATTTATTTAATTAACAAAGTTATGCAACATCCAATTCACCTGTTTGAAAAAGTAATTGTCCCCTTACACTTAATAACAGGTTGTGCCACCTTTAGCTGCAATGACTGCAACCAAATGCTTCCTGTAGTTGATCAGTCTCTCATATAGCTGTGGAGGAATTTTGGCCCACTCTTGCATGCAGAACTGCTTTAGCTCAGCGACATTTGTGGGTTTTCAAGTATGAACTGCTTGTTTCAAGTCCTGCCTAATTGGGATTAGGTCTGGACTTTGACTAGGCCATTCCAAAACTTCAAATTTGTTGCATTTTAGCCATTTTCATGGAGACTTGATTGTGTGTTTTGGATCATTGTCTTGCTGCATGACCCAGCTGTGCTTCAGCTTCAGCTCACAGACGAATGGCCTGACATTCTCCTGTAGAATTCTCTGATACAGAGCAGAATTCATGGTTCCTTCTATTAAGGCAAGTCGTCCAGGTCCTGAGGCAGCAAAGCATCCCCAAACCATCACACTACCACCAACATGCTTGACCGTTGGTATAAGGTTCTTACTGTGGAATGCAGTGTTTGGTTTTTGCCAGGCATAATAGGACCCATGTCTGTCCTTTAGGTGCCTTTTGGCAAACTCCAAGCGGGCTGTCATGTGCCTTTTTACTGAGGAGTGGCTTCCGTCTGGCCACTCTACCATAAAGGTCTGATTGGTGGAGTGCTGCAGAGATGGTTGTCCTTCTGGAAGGTTCTCCCATCTCCACAGAGGAAATCTAGAGCTCTGTCAGTGACCATCGGGTTCTTGGTCACCTCCCTAACCAAGGCCCTTCTCCCCCGATTGTTTAGTTTGGCAGGGCGGCCAGCTCTAGGAAGAGTCTTGGTGGTTCCAAACTTCTTCCATTTAAGAATGATGGAGGCCACTGTGTTCTTGGCCCTTCAATGCTGCATACATTTGTTGGTACTCTTCCCCAGATCTGTGTCTCGACACAATCCTGTCTCGGTGCTCTACGGACAATTCCTTTGACCTCATGGCTTGGTTTTTGCTCTGACATGCACTGTCAACTGTGGGACCTTATATAGACAGGTGTGTGCCCTTCCAAATCATGTCCAATCAATTTAATTTACCACAGGTGGACTCCAATCAAGTAGTAGAAACATCTCAAGGATGATCAATGGAAACAGGATGCACCTGAGCTCAATTTCGACTTTCATAGCAAAGGGTCTGAATACTTATGTAAATAAGGTATTTCTGTTTTTTATGTTTAACAAATTTGCAAACATTTCTAAAAACCTGTTTTCGCTTTGTCAGTATGGGGTATTGTGTGTAGATTGATGAGAAAAATAAATATTTAATCCATTTTAGAATAAGGCTTTAACGTAACAAATGTCGAATGCACTGTAATTTTGGCAATTTACTTTAGGAAAAGCTTCCCCTAATCTTATGGACTCGCTGCCTATGCTTGCATATTAAAAACGTAAGCATATAGGAGGACCTGTTTATTTGTTAACTGTTCAACTCAGAATAGCTGCATGTGCGCACTCCCTCAGAAATCGTTTGGAGAAAATATCCTTTCTATTTTATTCAGCTATGTTCAACTGTATTCTTCATACTATAAAATAATATAAAATAATGAATTCTAAGCAAATCTTGTCTGCTAGATGAACTGTGTAGCCCACAGCCATATGGCATAGCCAGATCAGGGCCTAACATAAGGACAACTCAGAATATGCAATTCTGTTCTTCTGAAATAGGCTACATTTTCTTCATATCATGTTTCTTTAGACCTGTCTAAAATAAATAATGGATTTATTGTGATTGTGTAGTCTATATTAAATGGATTCATGTAATTGTTCCAATGGTCGGCATCAGTGGCTTGTAGACTATTCATGGCAACCAGGAGATGCTAAATGTGTTTATGGTAAGTTCTGCATGCAGCTGCCGAGACTCTCTCATTCCCAACGGCTCAGAAACAGACGGAATTCCCAGATTTGTCTCCTTATCAATCCCTTCCTCCTGATGATAGCGAAGCATGCAGTTGGTGGTGTTGGCCTAAAGGTTGAGGTTTCAGTGGTAATCAAAGTTCAGTCACCTGTAGAACAATCCCAAGTGTTTGAGTGAAGGAGGGTTTCTTTGTGATGGAATGCGGACAGAGAGTGAGGCAAGCAGGAAACCTGCAGAGCTTTGGGTTGATCGTTAACCTGAGTTTTGGTTTGTAAAACGCTGACACACTACTCAGAGAGCCTTTGATGTGTGCAAGGAGGTAGGTTATACTGCTGTCTGTCTTAAACAGACGGCCATGGGAATATGCAGATCTTATCTCTGGTTATAAAGAATTGTAACAATAATAAGAAGGGTGGGTCTGATTGATGTGCAGTGAAATTGTTTCTTGTTTCTATGCTGAATGACTGACGTCTCATTTTCCTTTTTCTTTCCCTATTGTCTCTCTCTTTCTCCCCCTCTCTCTCATCTCTTACTCATCTCTCTCTCATCTCTCACTCACTCTCTTACTCACTCTCTCAGGATTTACAAGTCAGAATTGTGATCACAACGTTGATGACTGCCCAGGCCACAACTGTCAGAATGGTGGCTTGTGTGTGGATGGGGTCAACACCTACAACTGCCAGTGCCCCCCTCACTTTACAGGTAACCTTTATACCCACAAACCCTCCAATCTTCAAGATGGACAAGGTCTCTCTTGAAAATGAATGAACTTGAGATTACATGAACAAAAACTATTTCAAATTTCCACCCACATTGGCCCTATATCCATCTCTTATGGCCCCTGTATGATGTAATCCTTGTCCTCTGCCCTCTAGGCCAGTTCTGTACCGAGAACGTGGATGAGTGTGAGATGATGCCAAACACGTGCCAGAACGGTGGTACATGCCACGACACCTACGGCAGCTTCCACTGTGTCTGTGTCAATGGCTGGACGGGCGATGACTGCAGCGAGAACATCGACGACTGTGCCAGCGCAGCCTGTTATCACGGCGCCACATGCCACGACCGCGTAGCCTCCTTCTTCTGCGAGTGTCCGCACGGGCGCACAGGTACTACGATCTCACATGTCCCACACTAACCACACACACGCGTTGGAAGAAAAGTGATTAAAAATAAGAAACTGTTGAGAGCTTTGCACACCAGGCCACACTGAACTGAGGTGGCCTGGTTACACCCCCATGATAGTTGCTTGAAGATATTGAGATACTATTTTCAGGTGGGTACTTCACAATGTTAGTTGTTGAGGTGAGTCAGTTCTCCCCCTTTACAGTAGAAAGCATTTTGTGCCCCTGGAAATGCACTGCCTATAGAAATCCCATTAATCATAATTTGTCTTTCCTCAGGATTACTGTGTCATCTTGACGACGCCTGCATCAGTAACCCGTGTCAGAAAGGCTCTAACTGTGACACCAACCCTGTCAACGGCAAAGCCATCTGTACCTGCCCTCCAGGTTACACCGGCTCTGCATGCAACCAGGACATTGACGAGTGTTCCCTAGGTGAGTGACTTCTCTCTCTGCTCCTCTCTCGTTTCTATAGGAAGGTACCTGTCCCTGAACATTCAGGATGACAAACTCTGCCAATGTGCTATTTGCCAAACACTCCCTTGAGAGATTTTCAATTAGACTAACTTGGATACATTAAGGTTAAATAAAAATAAATGATTGTCAGTGTGACGGTTATGCATTTTGGTAATAGTTTGGCATCAGAACACTGAAGTGTAAAAGGCCTCTTTTTTTTTATATCTACCTCTTGTGTTAATGATAGAGAAATTGCGCGGGGTGAAAGTGGGGATATAAGTGGTGATGTATATCCTGTGTTTGACGTTTCAGGTGCCAACCCTTGCGAGCACGGTGGGCGCTGCCTGAACACTAAAGGCTCGTTCCAGTGCAAGTGTCTCCAGGGTTACGAGGGCCCGCGCTGTGAGATGGACGTCAACGAGTGCATGTCCAACCCCTGTCAGAACGATGCCACCTGCCTGGACCAGATTGGAGGATTCCACTGCATCTGCATGCCAGGTACGACGACACATTGGAATGTACCATTTAGGGGGATATTTCGGTTTGTAACACTGTCTTACTGACATAGACACTTTGACATGTTGTTAGGTGTAAGAATAATTGTTCATGATTGGAGTCATCTTTCTGTTCTCTGCCCCTGCTACAGAAGACAATACTAGCTATCTAAAAATGGCAAAATATTTTTGGAGCCTGTGAACTCAAAGTAATGTTACCTGAAACTGTGTTTCTGTAATATTGTCATAAACGTGTGTGTGTGTGTGTGTGTTCAGGTTATGAGGGGGTGTTTTGCCAGATCAACACCGACGAGTGTGCCAGTATGCCCTGTCTGAACAACGGGAAGTGCATTGACAGGATCAACTCCTTCTACTGCGAGTGCCCCAAAGGTGAGAGAGATGGCGGGTGGAAGGAATTGAGGGATGGATGGGTGAAAGGAGGAATGGAGGAAGGAAGGTGTACAGGGATGGAGGATTGGAGGAGTAGATGGAGGGTGGGGGTCCTCAGCTCCTGATAGGGTTGGGTGGGAGTGGGGTCACTGGAGGGTAAAGTAAAGTGAATGATTACCATAGGGGGGTGTGTGTGTGTGATTAATACTTTTCTGAGGTTGACTAGTGTAGGCATTTCTGATGAGGGCAGGGAGGGTGGTAATAACAAGGTCCCCCCTACATTAGCATAATTGGCGGACAAAATAGTTTGCACAAGACCTTAGCGCCCAAAGAGGGGGGTATAAGGGGTGGTGGGGGTGAGCAATTGTGTATTTGGAGCTCCTGCTATATGGGTTGTGTGTGTGTTGAGGGGGGTATCATTATAAAGTTCAGGATCCAGGGTCCTCCAGACCTACTTTATTAAATTAGTTTCCCCTCCATTTTCCATTTTCTCTCCTCTGCATATGCACTGTAGAGCCACAATAAAGGCTAGATTACGTTTGAAAGATGTGGTAAAATAATTAAGAGCGCAATTACATTCAGCTAACGTTAGATAGATATCTTTTAGGCCTACATTACAAATTCAGCATATTTAAATTACCTTAGGACAAACCAGGCTTCATTTTATCAATATCATGCAAATCATTACATGAGGTGAAAACAAATTCAGACTGAAAACTGTTAATTGACTGGGGAGTTGATCCTGCTTGCCATTGCATTGTTCTGAGATTCCTTTCTTTCTTTCTTTTTAAAGCTACGGCGACAATTTCAGAATGTAACAGGCTATTAGTGCAATTTCAGGGGAAAACCCAATAAAGCAAATCTCAAATTAAAGGAAAATATCTATACATTTCTGCTCTTTCAAAAACATTGTTCTGCTATTAAGATTTTTATTGTATGAGAATTTGGCTTGAAAAGACAATTCTGTTTAGGTTCTACAGAACTAGTGGTCGCGTACGAGACATGAGAAATGTGCATCTTTACATGACAGTAATATGTTCATACGCTGGTATTATTTTGATAACTCTTGTAAATGTATCATAGTGTAAATGCTCTCCAAGACAACGCAGTATTTTAATCTTAAAGAACTGTCCCCAGATGTGTAGCCTACAAATAATGTTAGATGTACATAAACTTGGATTCAATACGAGACAAATAACTAAACTGTAAGAACAGCAAAACAGCACAGAAAACAATAACAGAAAGGAGTATGGCTGATATATATTCTTCCTTGTCCAGGCTTCTCTGGTGGTCTATGTCAGGTTGACATCGATGAGTGTGCCAGCACGCCCTGCATGAACGGAGCCAAGTGTACCGACGGCCCCAACAAATACTCATGCGAATGCACTGAAGGTATAGTAGGCTGGCACATGGTTAGAACGGTTTGAGGCTCAATTCTTGTCTTTAAATTAATACACTTTATAGGGTGGTACATGGACCAAGGCCAAGCCTACTCCTGGACCGAGTTTTTTTTTTTTGTGCAACGATAGGCTTCCTCTGGTTCGGCGGAATTTCCCCCTCTATAAGATCTCTTCATCCTAGAACATAAGCTACATTCCGATTCTCTACCCTTATTCTGAAATGTGCGCTCATACACTCCCTTTCATGGATTTAAAATACATGGATTGGTGTGAGGAATATGGTGGAAACTCCTTCCAGCTATGCTTGCACCAATGCAATGCTTTTGAAATGCATGAGGGGGAGGTATAGTTTCAAATGAAATATCATTTTCTCTACTCCAACTCAGTATGTGCTGCCCCAATGATCCAGTTCCTTAATATTTTGAACTCAGTAGTTAGTTTCTTTCTGTGTATCTATCTTCTCCTCCTTTCCAGGTTACTCTGGGCAGCACTGTGAGACTGACATCAATGAGTGTTACTCGGACCCCTGTCACTATGGCACCTGTAAGGACGGCCTGGCCACCTTCACCTGCTACTGTCGCCCTGGTTACACGGGCCGCCTGTGCGAGACCAACATCAACGAGTGTCTGAGCCAGCCATGTCAGAATGGAGGCACCTGCCAGGACAGGGAGAACACATACATCTGCACCTGCCCCAAGGGCACTGCAGGTACAGGAACACACTCTCTCTCACACACACACACACACATGCGCATGCAGGAAGACACACGCAGAGACACGCACCCACACAGGCAGGCAGACATACACACACATACACACGCACACACCATACTACAATCCTACATATTTTACAACACAGGCAGCCACATCCAGGCATATGTGTGAAACTCTGCCAGTGTTAGTAACATTGTACCCCCTACTGTGGTTGTTTGACAGGCTTTAACTGTGAGGTGAATCTGGATGACTGTAAGAGCAAGCCCTGTGACTACGGGAGGTGCATTGACAAGATCAACGGCTATGAGTGTGCATGTGAGCCAGGTTACTCAGGTGAGCACTGGGTTGAAGAGAGGGGGGAAAGAGAGGGGGACAGGCAGGACAGGTGGCCAGCGAGCTGACTCAAACAGAAGAGTGGTGTCATATTCCCTGTGTGGGACAAGGCGGGAGAACAGAGAGGCAGCCCCAAACCTGATACACGTACTCTCTCACACACTCATTCACTCACACACACATCTGCTGCATGTGCACCTGGTGTGTATAGACTGTGTTCTTACACCTAAGCACTGACCTTTTTATAAGTTTCCCGGTATCAGTGAAGAAAAGGTGGATTATTTTGCCCAAACCATTCCTGGAATAACAATTCCAGTCCACCTATTCCCATGGGGCTACCGTTTCAAGACCCTGTAGGGCCTGTTTTCTCTACTTGTATGTGTGTGGAAACATCCTGTGTGTTTGTGTGCACACATATGTGTCGCATTTTTGTGTGTGTCTGTGAATACTTAATAAACTCTTAGGTTGGGAGGGTCGTGGGTTTGCAGGCAGGCTGCTGTTGTGCCCCTGCTCCTCTGTCTTTTTGTCCTCTTTCCTCTGTTTTGTGAGTGTTGAGGGGCAGGGCTCACGGACAGAGGGCCATTGTAGTTGTAGAGCAGGCAGTTGGGCCCTCCCCTTTCTGATTGATGGGGGAGGGGGGATGTAATTGTTGCTCACCGGCGTGTGAAATGGGGCCCTTCTGTCTCTCCTTACCAGCCCTGGGTTAAGGTGGCCCTCCCTCCCCCACTGTTCCCCCTATGAAGCGAGGAGGAGGGGGTGGCGAGAGGCTTTGTGTGTCCCATTGTCACTGGTATAAAAGATCTGAGCTTACACCCCCTCAGATCCAGCTGAAACATTCCTTCTCCCTCCTTACCAGAGCACCTCTTATTATTCAATGGGCAGGGAGAGGGAAAGGCCACACTGCTAATCTCCAGTGGCTAGCCTGGCAGCCTCACCCTGCCTCTATATACCCTTTAGTAATGTGGCCCTGTGTATTGTGCAGACTCCCCCCATCACCTCAGCAACTAACAAAGGATTAGAGATAGAGAGCGAGAGAGAAGAAAACAAAATGTCCAGCTGTGGTTTCTTTAAACAATGGCCATATATGAGTGAATACTCACCCCCTGCTGTGTTGGATTTTCAGGGGCCATGTGCAACATCAATACCGACGATTGTGCCATCAACCCCTGTCACAATGGTGGCACCTGCATCGACGGCATCAACAGCTTCACATGCCTGTGCCCAGAGGGCTACAATGATGCCACCTGTCTGTTGCAGGTGGACGAGTGTGGCAGCAACCCCTGCATCCACGGCCGCTGCCAGGACCTGGTCAACGGGTGAGCACACACACACACACACACACACACACACACACACACACACACACACACACACACACACACACACACACACACACACACACATATTTCGATTAAAGCTTACCTTTCTCTATCTGTATTCCAGCTACAAGTGTTTCTGTGACTCTGGCTGGAGTGGGCCTAACTGTGACATCAACAACAACGAGTGTGAGTCCAACCCGTGTATGAACGGTGGCACCTGCAAGGATATGACCAGTGGATATGTTTGTAGCTGCCGAGCCGGCTTCAGTGGTCAGTTCAATTCAACGTGTCTTCCCTTACTGTTTCTCACTCTCCCTATCAGCTCCTTCTCTCTCTCTCTCTCTCTCTTTTCTATCTTCTCACACCTTACCCTCTCAATCCTGCAACTCTGTTTGAGTGGGTGTGTGTGGTGGATATCATCCCTAATAAGTCTGCGACTCTAACCCATGTGTGTTCTCTAATCCCCGGCCATGCTGTAGGACCTAACTGCCAAACTAACATCAACGAGTGTGCCACCAACCCCTGTCTGAACCAGGGCACCTGCATTGACGACGTGGCCGGCTACAAGTGCAACTGCTTACTGCCCTATACTGGTATGATAACGTATTGATTTTCGCGGAGCCATATAGGCCTAAAGAGATGTGTACAGTAGCCTTATGGCTCTGGTTTTGGTTTGGCCCTCTACTCAGAAAGGCCTGTATGGCTCCGGAATAGAAGACTTCTTGAACAATGGTATAAAAATACATTTCTGAAATCCACTTGTGCGCTGACTACTGAGGGCTCTTCAGTAATATTGCTGAGATCTACAAATAATCCTGTGTAGAGCCCATCCCCTGGGAGAGCAATATATGCAAATTGTTATTCAGACAGCAGACTTATTTTAGAAAACATAGGTTGACTAATGCCCACTAACTGTGTGGAAACAGGCCTTATGTTTTGCTCCTCTCTGTCATTTGTGGAAAAATCCACCCTGTCTACCATGTTGTGATAACTTTGTGTGTGTGTGTGTGTGTGTGTGTGTGTGCGTGTGTGTGTGTGTGTGTGTGTGGGAATAACATGCTATAGACCGGGAGGGCTGGGAACTGGGACCTGTGGCCACTTCCTCTTCCTGTCTCTGGGCTACACAATAGCAGGAAACAGGAAGCAGCTTCCTGCCTGGTCTCTGGTTACTGTGGAGCGGATAGGGAAGTGGATAGGAAACTGGGATTTAAAAACTGATGTCACTCTTCAGGGGAAACTCCTCTGAGTGTGACTAGAAAAGGGAAATATCATGCAATGCAGCCATTTTCATTTCCATTTCGCTTTAAGACAACTTTGAAGAAGTCAACTCTACCAAGAGTTTAAAAGCATTGAATTGTGATGTAGTACTTCTCCAAAGATGTCTAACTGCAAAAGGGAAGTGGAGAGTGAAATACAAATGTAACATGAACGAAACATGTATGAATGGAACAAACATTCATGGCTCTTACTCAAAAAGCGTACAGACCGATGAATGATCTGTGATGGATTCCCTGTAGCACTTGAGGGCATTTGTTTGAGGTGTGTGTTGTGTTCCTATCCCTACCAGGTGAGACATGTGAGACACTGCTGGCCCCATGCAGCCCCCGGCCCTGTAAGAACGGTGGCGTGTGTCAGGAGTCTGAGGACTACCAGAGCTTCTCCTGCCTCTGTCCAGAGGGATGGCAAGGTAAACTACTCATCTCTTCCTCCATCAATCTGTTCTGTTTATTCCTCCATCTGTCCACCCATCCATCCATCCAATAGAGGGTGTTCTTTGAGAGACTGACTGCCCCCCCTCTCTCTCCTCTCTCAGGTCAAACATGCGAGATAGACATCAACGAGTGTGTGAAAAGTCCGTGCCGCAACGGCGCCACGTGCCACAACATGGTGGGCAGCTACCGGTGCAGCTGCCGTCCGGGCTACACCGGTCAGAAGTGTGAGATGGACATTGACGACTGCAAGCCCAGTAAGGAACTTCAACTCCTAGCTCTATCTTGTAAAGTGAACTTGGCCCAACTGTATCACTTACCTGATACATCTCTCTCTCTGTTTCTCTTTTTCTCGTTCTAGACCCCTGCAGTAATGGAGGTCTGTGCAGAGATGGAGTGGACAGCTTTGTGTGCACTTGTCTGCCAGGGTTCCGTGGTAGCAGGTGTGAGCAGGACATTAACGAGTGCGAGAGCAACCCGTGTAAGAATGGGGCCAACTGCACCGACTGTGTCAACTCCTACACCTGCACCTGTCCACCCGGTTTCAGTGGCATCAACTGTGAGAATAACACCCCCGACTGCACAGAGAGGTACAGAGAGCAGTTCACATACTGTGTTTCTGTTAGTGGCAATTCAAAAGCATGGGAAAGAGCCCCTTTTTGCAAGAGAAACCCTCTTCAAAGAGTATCTTAAATGAATATTTTCTTACTAGCGCTGAATTTACTGAAAATGTACTTTCTACGACTGTGATGTGGTTGTCTCCCCCAGCTATCTTAAGATGAATGCACTAATTGTTAAGTGTCTCTGGATAAGAACGTCTACTAAATGACTAAAATGTAAATTTCAAATGCTTTTGAATACATCCTAAGAGAAACAATCAATTTCCACATTGCTTGATAAAAACAATGTTGACCAGAATATTCTGGATGTTGCTAAATAACCAACTAATAATTTTAGAAACAGATTGGAAGAAACAACAACAGGAACATTTTAAATAAGCTGAAGTAAAAAAATATATTTTTAACATCCCTTTAACTAATTTGGTTACTATACTTATAGTCTCAAAACTCTCCCATTGTTGTGTGTTTTTTCTCTAGCTCTTGCTTCAACGGTGGCACCTGTGTGGATGGCATCAATACCTTCACCTGCCTGTGTCTTCCAGGCTTCACAGGCAGCTACTGCCAGCACGACATCAACGAGTGTGACTCCAAGCCCTGCCTCAACGGTGGCACCTGTCTGGACAGCTACGGCACCTACAAGTGTACCTGCCCTCATGGCTACACTGGAGTCAACTGCCAGGTATGGGCGGGCAGGAGCCATCTTGACTAAGGGCAGTGGGTTCATGTGTTCTGGCTAGGCAGCCATATCTCCTGAGTGCATTTGATTGTATATAATAATTTTCCCTCTATTTTCCCTCTTTCTATTGATATAATTTAATAAACATCTTAGAAACAACTGAGACGTAATAGTGGTAGTCCGCTCAACAGCGAGTGAGTGAGAGTGTGTGTGTTACACATGGGTGTATTTGTGTGTTAATGTGTTTCTGCTCTGCTTGCAGAACCTGGTGCGGTGGTGTGACTCATCTCCCTGTAAGAACGGAGGCTCATGTTGGCAACAGGGCTCCTCATACACCTGTCAGTGTCAGACGGGATGGACCGGCCTCTACTGTGATGTCCCCAGTGTCTCCTGCGAGGTGGCCGCCAAACAGCAAGGTAAGCACACAGAGTAAAAACAATTCCGATTATACAGTGCCTTCAGAAAGTATTCACTCCCCCTGACTTTTTCCACATTTTGTTGTGTTACAGACAGAATTTAAAATTGATTAAATTAAGATTGTTGGTCACTGGCCTACACACAATACACTATAATGTCAAAGTGGAATTATGTTTTTTGAAATTTCTACAAATTAAAATGAAAATCTGAAATGTCTTGAGTCAATAAGTATTCAACCCCTTTGTTATGGCAAGCCTAAATAAGTTCAGGAGTACAAATTTGCTTAACAAGTCACATAATAAATTACAATGATTTTTTTGTTGTTGGGACTACCTCAGCTCTGTACCCCACACATACAATTATCTGTAAGGTCCGCCAGTCGAGCAGTGAATTTCAAACACAGATTCAACCACAAAGAGCAGGGAGGTTTTCCAATGCCTTGTAAAGAACGGCACCTATTGGTAGATGGGGAAAAAAATTAAAAAGCATACATTAAATATCCCTTTGAGCATGGTGAAGTTATTAATTACACTTTGGATGGTGTATCAATACACCCAGTCACTACAAAGATACAGGTGTCATTCCTAACTCAGTTGCCAGAGCGGAAGGAAACCGCTCAGGGATTTCACCATGAGACCAATGGTGACTTTAAAACAGTTAGTGTTTAATGGCTGTGATAGGAGAAAACTGAGGATGGATCAACAACATTGTAGTTTCTCCACAATACTAACCTAATTGACAGAGTGAAAAGAAGGAAGCCTGTACAGAATACAAATATATATATATATATATATATATATATATATATATATATATATATATATATATATATATATATATATATATATATCCAAAACATGCATTCTGTTTTTGCAAAAAGGCACTAAGGTAATACAGCAAAACAAATGTAGCAAATCAATTAACTTTTTGTCCTGAATACAAAGTGTTATGCTTGGGGCAAATCCAATACAACACATTACTGAGTACCACTCTCCATATTTTCAAGCATAGTGGTGCCTGCATCATGTTATGGGTATGCTTGTAATTGTTAAGGACTGGGGAGTTTTTCAGGATAAAAAAGAAACGGAATGGAGCTAAGCACAGACAAAATCCTAGAGGAAAACCTGGGAGATTCATTCACCTTTCAGCAGGACAATAACCTGAAACACAAGGCCAAATCTACACTGGAGTTGCTTACCAAGAAGACAGTGAATGTTCCTGAGTGGCAGAGTTACAGTTTAGACTTAAATCTGCTTGAAAATCTATGGCAAGACTTAAATGGTTGTCTAGCAATGATCAACAACCAATTTGACAGAGCTTGAAGAATTTTGAAAATAATAATGGGCAAATATTGCACAATCCAGGTGTGCAAAGCTCTTATAGACTTACCCAGAAAGCCTCACAGCTGTAATCACTGCCAAAGGTAATTCTAACATATATTGACTCAGGGATGTGAATACTTACAGTGAGGGAAAAAAGTATTTGATCCCCTGCTGATTTTGTACGTTTGCCCACTGACAAAGAAATGATCAGTCTATCATTTTAATGGTAGGTTTATTTGAACAGTGAGAGACAGAATAACAACAAAACAATCCAGAAAAACGCATGTCAAAAATTTTATAAATTGATTTGCATTTTAATGAGGGAAATAAGTATTTGACCCCCTCTCAATCAGAAAGATTTCTGGCTCCCAGGTGTCTTTTATACAGGTAACGAGCTGAGATTAGGAGCACACTCTTAAAGGGAGTGCTCCTAATCTCAGCTTGTTACCTGTATAAAAGACACCTGTCCACAGAAGCAATCAATCAATCAGATTACAAACTCTCCACCATGGCCAAGACCAAAGAGCTCTCCAAGGATGTCAGGGACAAGATTGTAGACCTACACAAGGCTGGAATGGGCTACAAGACCATCGCCAAGCAGCTTGGTGAGAAGGTGACAACAGTTGGTGCGATTATTCGCAAATGGAAGAAACACAAAATAACTGTCAATCTCCCTCGGCCTGGAGCTCCATGCAAGATCTCACCTTGTGGAGTTGCAATGATCATGAGAACGGTGAGGAATCAGCCCAAAACTACACGGGAGGATCTTGTCAATGATCTCAAGGCAGCTGGGACCATAGTCACCAAGAAAACAATTGGTAACACACTACGCCGTGAAGGACTGAAATCCTGCAGTGCCCGCAAGGTCCCCCTGCTCAAGAAAGCAGCACATATACAGGCTCGTCTGAAGTTTGCCAACTGGGAGAAAGTGGTCAGATGAGACCAAAATCGAGCTCTTTGGCATCAACTCAACTCGCCGTGTTTGGAGGAGGAGGAATGCTGCCTATGGCCCCAAGAACACCATCCCCACTGTCAAACATGGAGGTGGAAACATTATGCTTTGGGGGTGTTTTTCTGCTAAGGGGACAGGACAACTTCACCGCATCAAAGGGACGATGGATGGGGCCATGTACCGTCAAATCTTGGGTGAGAACCTCCTTCCCTCAGCCAGGGCATTGAAAATGGGTCGTGGATGGGTATTCTAGCATGACAATGACCCAAAACACACGGCCAAGGCAACAAAGAAGTGGCTCAAGAAGAAGTACATTAAGGTCCTGGAGTGGCCTAGCCAGTCTCCAGACCTTAATCCCATAGAAAATCTGTGGAGGGAGCTGAAGGTTCGAGTTGCCAAACGTCAGGCTCGAAACCTTAATGACTTGGAGAAGATCTGCAAAGAGGAGTGGGACAACATCCCTCCTGAGATGTGTGCAAACCTGGTGGCCAACTACAAGAAACGTCTGACCTCTGTGATTGCCAACAAGGGTTTTGCCACCAAGTACTAAGTCATGTTTTGCAGAGGGGTCAAATACTTATTTCCCTCATTAAAATGCAAATCAATTTACAACATTTTTGACATGCGTTTTTCTGGATTTATGTGTTGTTATTCTGTCTCTCACTGTTCAAATAAACCTACCATTAAAATTATAGACTGATCATGTCTTTGTCAGTGGGCAAACGTACATTTTTTAAAATTTTATTTTTTGATTTCACCTTTATTTAACCAGGTAAGCCAGTTGAGAACAAGTTCTCATTTACAACTGCGACCTGGCCAAGATAAAGCATAGTAGTGCGATAAAAACAACAACACAGAGTTACATATGGGGTAAAAAAAACATAAAGTCAAAAAAAATACAACAGAAAATATATATACAGTGTGTGCAAATGTAGCAAGTTATGGAGGTAAGGCAATAAATAGGCTATAGTGCAAAATAATTACAATTAGTATTAACACTGGAATGCTAGATGTGCAAGAGATTATGTGCAAATAGAGATACTGGGGTGCAAAAGAGCAAAATAAATAACAATATAGGGATGAGGTAGTTGGGTGGGCTAATTTCAGATGGGCTGTGTACAGGTGCAGTGATCGGTAAGGTGCTCTGACAACTGATGCTTAAAGTTAGTGAGGGAGATAAGAGTCTCCAGCTTCAGAGATTTTTGCAATTCGTTCCAGTCATTGGCAGCAGAGAACTGGAAGGAATGGCGGCCAAAGGAGGTGTTGGCTTTGGGAATGACCAGTGAGATATACCTGCTGGAGCGCAGACTACGGGTGGGTGCTGCTATGGTGACCAATGAGCTAAGATAAGGCGGGGATTTGCCTAGCAGTGATTTATAGATGGCCTGGAGCCAGTGGGTTTGACGACGAACATGTAGTGAGGACCAGCCAACAAGAGCGTACAGGTCACAGTGGTGGGTAGTGTATGGGGCTTTGGAGACAAAACGGATGGCACTGTGATAGACTACATCCAATTTGCTGAGTAGAGTGTTGGAGGCTATTTTGTAAATGACATCGCCGAAGTCAAGGATCGGTAGGATAGTCAGTTTTACGAGGGCATGTTTGGCAGCATGAGTGAAGGAGGCTTTGTTGCGAAATAGGAAGCCGATTCTAGATTTAACTTTGGATTGGAGATTCTTAATGTGAGTCTGGAAGGAGAGTTTACAGTCTAACCAGACACCTAGGTATTTGTAGTTGTCCACATACTCTAGGTCAGACCCGTCGAGAGTGGTGATTCTAGTCGGGTGGGCGGGTGCCAGCAGCGTTCGATTGAAGAGCATGCATTTAGTTTTACTAGTGTTTAAGAGCAGTTGGAGGCTACTGAAGGAGTGTTGTATGGCATTGAAGCTCGTTTGGAGGTTTGTTAACACAGTGTCCAATGAAGGGCCAGATGTATACAAAATGGTGTCGTCTGCGTAGAGGTGGATCTGAGAGTCACCAGCAGCAAGAGCTGCTTCAAAATCAGCAGGGGATCAAATACTTTTTTCCCTCACTGTATGTAATTTTAAATATTTCTGTATTTCATTTTCAATAAATTTGCAAACTTTTCTAAAAACATGTTTTGATTTTGTCATTATGGGGTATTGTGTGTGTATATGGGTGAGATTTTTTTTTATTATCCATTTTTAATTCACACAACAAAATGTGGAATACAGTGGGGGAAAAAGTATTTAGTCAGCCACCAATTGTGCAAGTTCTCCCACTTAAAAAGATGAGAGAGGCCTGTAATTTTCATCATAGGTACACGTCAACTATGACAGACAAATTGAGAAAAAAAATTCTAATAAATTGAATTTATTTGCAAATTATGGTGGAAAATAAGATTTGGTCACCTACAAACAAGCAAGATTTCTGGCTCTCACAGACCTGTAACTTCTTCTTTAAGAGGCTCCTCTGTCCTCCACTCGTTACCTGTATTAATGGCACCTGTTTGAACTTGTTATCAGTATAAAAGACACCTGTCCACAACCTCAAACAGTCACACTCCAAACTCCACTATGGCCAAGACCAAAGAGCTGTCAAAGGACACCAGAAACAACATTGTAGACCTGCACCAGGCTGGGAAGACTGAATCTGCAATAGGTAAGCAGCTTGGTTTGAAGAAATCAACTGTGGGAGCAATTATTAGGAAATGGAAGACATACTGATAATCTCCCTCGATCTGGGGCTCCACGCAAGATCTCACCCCGTGGGGTCAAAATGATCACAAGAATGGTGAGCAAAAATCCCAGAACCACACGGGGGGACCTAGTGAAGGACCTGCAGAGAGCTGGGACCAAAGTAACAAAGCCTACCATCAGTAACACACTACGCCGCCAGGGACTCAAATCCTGCAGTGCCAGACGTGTCCCCCTGCTTAAGCCAGTACATGTCCAGGCCCGTCTGAAGTTTGCTAGAGTCCATTTGGATGATCCAGAAGAGGATTGGAAGAATGTCATATGGTCAGATGAAACCAAAATAGAACTTTTTGGTAAAAACTCAACTCGTCGTGTTTGGAGGACAAAGAATGTTGAGTTGCATCCAAAGAACACCATACCTACTGTGAAGCATGGGGGTGGAAACATCATGCTTTGGGGCTGTTTTTCTGCAAAGGGACCAGGATGACTGATCCGTGTAAAGGAAAGAATGAATGGGGCCATGTATCGTGAGATTTTGAGTGAAAACCTCCTTCCATCAGCAAGGGCATTGAAGATGAAACGTGGCTGGGTCTTTCAGCATGACAATGATCCCAAACACACCGCCCGGGCAACGAAGGAGTGGCTTCGTAAGAAGCATTTCAAGGTCCTGGAGTGGCCTAGCCAGTCTCCAGATCTCAACCCCATAGAAAATCTTTGGAGGGAGTTGAAAGTCCGTGTTGCCCAGCGACAGCCCCAAAACATCACTGCTCTAGAGGAGATCTGCATGGAGGAATGGGACAAAATACCAGCAACAGTGTGAAAACCTTGTGAAGACTTACAGAAAACGTTTGACCTGTGTCATTACCAACAAAGGGTATATAACAAAGTATTGAGAAACTTTTGTTATTGACCAAATACTTATTTTCCACCATAATTTGCAAATAAATTCATAAAAAATCCTACAATGTGATTTTCTGGATTTCTTTTTCTCATTTTGTCTGTCATAGTTGATGTGTACCTATGATGAAAATGACAGGCCTCTCTCATCTTTTTAAGTGGGAGAACTTGCACAATTGGTGGCTGACTAAATACTTTTTTTCCCCACTGTAAGTGGAGGAGTATGAATACTTTCTGAAGGCACTGTATCTAACTATTAGACAGTTAATTTAGTCGAGACAGAGCACAAATCGTTCTGACCATCTCTAGGCCAAGCAGACAAAGATCCAATTTTGCATGTAAAATTGACCAATACAGGATGGTTAGGGGATGGTAAGAACATGTTTGTGTGCTTTGTATGCTGTGTGTGTGTGTGTACATATGTGTATGCTACATATATATGTATACACCCCCCCCCCCCTCTTGTCTGAAGGTGTGGAGGTGGCTCACCTGTGTCGTAACTCGGGCCAGTGTCTGGATGCTGGCAACACCCACTACTGCCGCTGCCAGGCGGGCTACACGGGCAGCTACTGCCAGGAACAGGTGGACGAGTGCTCCCCCAACCCTTGCCAGAACGGTGCCACCTGCACAGACTACCTGGGAGGGTACAGCTGTGAGGTATATATGCTCTAGCTAGCAAATCTGAATCAACACAAACACATAAATTATTATTAATACGTTATCCTTAATTTATGCAATTAAAGGCCCACTCCGTAATTCCAAGCACAACAAAAACGACAGCCCCGCCACTTGGTGTGCTACAGTATAATCTCTCTTTCTCTCAAGGGTAGGGTGTCAAAATTCAAGATACCTAACATTGCTCTACTTTCACACTGTTCTAATATCAAGTGTATGGACCAGGTCTCCCTTGAGTAGGGTTGCAATATTCCGGAAACTTTCAATAAATTACCAGATTTTCCAGAAATCCTGTTTGGAGGAATCAGGAGGGAATAAGCAGGAAATCCGGAATCCTCCAACCAGGATTTCTGGAAAATCTGGGAATTTATTGAACGTTTCCTGAATTTTGCAACCCTACTCAAGACCTGGTCTATACACTTGATATTAGAACAGTGTGAAAGTAGAGCAATGTTAGGTATCTTGAATCATGTGTCAGATAAGATAGTACTTAATTTCTCTGGTATTTGAATGGTTTTGGTCTGGTTTGTCTCTGTCAGTGTCTTCCTGGGTACCACGGGGTGAACTGCTCCAAGGAGATCAACGAATGTCTGTCTCAGCCCTGTCAGCACGGGGGCACCTGCATCGACCTCATCAATACCTACAAATGCTCCTGTCCCAGAGGAACACAAGGTACACACTAGCGCATGCACACACACACAAAGGCAATCTCATAAAAATCTCTCATCAGTCTACCACTGAAAAACAAGCACAGAACAGTTAGTAGCAGCATATTATTCATGTATTTCCATTCGGTAGTAGACTAAGAGGAGCTCTATGCTAAATTACATAGAATTAGATGCATGTAATTCTATTTCTATACTGAATTCCACCTAATCCTCAGCCCACCCCTTCCCCAGGCATTCACTGTGAGATCAACCTGGACGACTGCAACCCCTCTATGGACCCTCTGACCAACGAGCCCAAGTGTTTCAACAAGGGTCAGTGTGTGGACAGAGTGGGGGGCTACCACTGCATGTGTCCCGCTGGCTACGTAGGGGAGCGCTGCGAGGGTGACGTCAACGAGTGCCTGTCGGACCCCTGCGACCCGCGAGGCTCCTACAACTGTGTCCAGCTCACCAACAGCTACCGCTGCGAGTGTCGCACTGGATACACAGGTACTGACCATACCCTACGCACCTAAAATAAATTGGATTATTCTGTGTTTATGACAGATTTTACACAACAATGAAAAAAACAAACATTGTCCACACATTTGTAATGTACATAAATAACAGACATTGTTCTCCCTCTCAACTCCAGGCCAGCGCTGTGACAAGGTGTTTGACGGCTGTAAGGGGAGACCGTGTAGGAACGGAGGATCGTGTGCAGTGGCCAGTAACAACCCCGATGGATTCATCTGCAAATGCCCACCGGTGAGCACATTTACATTTGAGTCATTTAACAGACACTCTCATCCAGAGCGATTTACAGTTGTGAGTGCATACATTTTAGTAATGGTCCCCGTGTGAATCGAACCCACAACCCTGGCATTGCAAGCGCCTTGCTCTACCAACCGAGCCACACACCACTGACCAGAACACAAACTCTAAATTCACCCTGGCCATAATGGCAACATATTCCCCATATAGAGCAAAAGGGAACAGGGTGACATTTTTGACGTAGCCCCTGGCTCCCTCTGTATTTCCATCCACAATTTAGCATCTCATTTAGCATAATTATTTACAGTGGGGGAAAAAAGTATTTAGTCAGCCACCAAGTTCTCCCACTTAAAAAGATGAGAGAGGCCTGTAATTTTCATCATAGGTACACGTCAACTATGACAGACAAAATGAGAAAAATAAATCCAGAAAATAACATTGTAGGATTTTTTATGAATTTATTTGCAAATTATAATAATAAATAATATGCCATTTAGCAGACACTTTTATCCAAAGCGACTTACAGTCATGCGTGCATACATTTTTTGTGTATGGGTGGTCCCGGGGATCGAACCCACTACCTTGGCGTTACAAGCGCCGTGCTCTACCAGCTGAGCTACAGAGGACCACCCATACACAAAATTCCACCCATTATGGTGGAAAATAAGTATTTGGTCAATAACAAAAGTTTCTCAATACTTTGTTATATACCCTTTGTTGGCAATGACACAGGTCAAATGTTTTCTGTAAGTCTTCACACACTGTTGCTGGTATTTTGGCCCATTCCTCCATGCAGATCTCCTCTAGAGCAGTGATGTTTTGGGGCTGTCGCTGGGCAACACAGACTTTCAACTCCCTCCAAAGATTTTCTATGGGGTTGAGATCTGGAGACTGGCTAGGCCACTCCAGGACCTTGAAATGCTTCTTACGAAGCCACTCCTTCGTTGCCCGGGCGGTGTGTTTGGGATCATTGTCATGCTGAAAGACCCAGCCACGTTTCATCTTCAATGCCCTTGCTGATGGAAGGAGGTTTTCACTCAAAATCTCACGATACATGGCCCCATTCATTCTTTCCTTTACATTTACATTTTAGTCATTTAGCAGACGCTCTTATCCAGAGCGACTTACAGTTAGTGAATACATATATATTTTTTTTTTTATACTGGCCCCCCGTGGGAATCGAACCCACAACCCTGGCGTTGCAAACGCTATGCTCTATCAACTGAGCTACATCCCTGCCGGTCATTCCCTCCCCTACCCTGGACGAATTGTGCGCCGCCCATGAGTCTCCCGGTCGCGGCCGGCTGCGACAGAGCCTGGATTCGAACCAGGATCTAGTGGCACAGTTAGCACTGCGATGCAGTGCCTTAGACCACTGCGCCACTCAGGAGTCACGGATCAGTCGTCCTGGTCCCTTTGCAGAAAAACAGCCCCAAAGCATGATGTTTCCACCCCCATGCTTCACAGTAGGTATGGTGTTCTTTGGATGCAACTCAACATTCTTTGTCCTCCAAACACGACGAGTTGAGTTTTTACCAAAAAGTTCTATTTTGGTTTCATATGACCATATGACATTCTCCCAATCCTCTTCTGGATCATCCAAATGGACTCTAGCAAACTTCAGACGGGCCTGGACATGTACTGGCTTAAGCAGGGGGACACGTCTGGCACTGCAGGATTTGAGTCCCTGGCGGCGTAGTGTGTTACTGATGGTAGGCTTTGTTACTTTGGTCCCAGCTCTCTGCAGGTCATTCACTAGGTCCCCCCGTGTGGTTCTGGGATTTTTGCTCACCGTTCTTGTGATCATTTTGACCCCACGGAGTGAGATCTTGCGTGGAGTCCCAGATCGAGGGAGATTATCAGTGGTCTTGTATGTCTTCCATTTCCTAATAATTGCTCCCACAGTTGATTTCTTCAAACCAAGCTGCTTACCTATTGCAGATTCAGTCTTCCCAGCCTGGTGCAGGTCTACAATTTTGTTTCTGGTGTCCTTTGACAGCTCTTTGGTCTTGGCCATAGTGGAGTTTGGAGTGTGACTGTTTGAGGTTGTGGACAGGTGTCTTTTATACTGATAACAAGTTCAAACAGGTGCCATTAATATAGGTAACGAGTGGAGGACAGAGGAGCCTCTTAAAGAAGAAGTTACAGGTCTGTGAGAGCCAGAAATCTTGCTTGTTTGTAGGTGACCAAATACTTATTTTCCACCATAATTTGCAAATAAATTCATTAAAAATCCTACAATGTGATTTTCTGGATTTTTTTCCCTCAATTTGTCTTTCATAGTTGACGTGTACCTATGATGAAAATGACAGGCCTCTCTCATCTTTTTATGTGGGAGAACTTGCACAATTGGTGGCTGACTAAATACTTTTTTCCCCCACTGTATGTGTTTGATTAACTTTGTCTCTTTTTTGTATATCTTTGTGGAAAGGGAGCGGTTTGGCGATGCAAAGTAAACGTGTGTGCCAACAGACTGTTTTAAGGTACAACCTCATCTGACCCATCTCTGTGTGTGTCTCTCCAGGGCTACACAGGCTCCTCCTGCGAGTATGACTCACGCTTCTGTGGCAGCCTCAGCTGCAGAAATGGTGGCACCTGTGTCTCCGGCCACCTGAGCCCTCGTTGCCTGTGCCCCGCCGCTTTTACCGGCCCTGAGTGCCAGACTCCCACGGACAGCCCCTGCAACGTCAACCCCTGCTACAACGAGGGCACTTGCCAGAGCACCCCTGACGCACCCTTCTTCCACTGCAGCTGCCCCAACAACTTCAATGGCCTGCTCTGTCACATCCTTGATTACTCCTTTCCCGGTGGGTTCGGCCGGGATATTACGCCACCACCCGAGGTGGAGGTGAGCTGCGAGATCCCGCAGTGCGACGAGTGGGCGGGCAACCACATCTGTGACTCGCTGTGCAACAACCACGCCTGCGGCTGGGACGGCGGCGACTGCTCGCTCAACTTCGATGACCCATGGCAGAACTGCTCGGCGGCGCTGCAGTGCTGGCGGTACTTCAACGACGGGAAGTGCGATGAGCAGTGCAACAGCCCTGGGTGTCTCTACGACGGCTTCGACTGCCAGGGACAGGAGGGACAGTGCAAGTGAGTCTCAGTCCGCCTCGAATATGTCTGTTCCATCTCAACCTCTCACTATCTCACTATGCCCAGTCTCAAACCTATTTCACTCTCAGATGATTATTAAAACATATTAAACCATGAAAGAAGGATGATGATATGTTGTGTTTGTAAGAATGATGAACATTGTCTACTTCCAACTCCTTACGAGTCTACATATCCAAGCAATCTTTTCTAATCTACCTACTTTCTACATTCCTACCTCATCCAATTCCTCTGGCCTTAGTTAACTTAAGTGCTAATCCTAATGTTGACCATGTTAATGCTCTCTCTCCCCAGCCCACTGTATGACCAGTACTGTAAGGACCACTACGCGGACGGCCACTGCGACCAGGGCTGTAACAACGCAGAGTGCGAGTGGGACGGCCTGGACTGCGCCAACAACATGCCCGAGAAGCTAGCTGACGGCCACCTCGTCCTTGTGGTCCACATCCCTCCCGAGCAGTTAAAAAATGGTTTTTCCACGTTCCTCCGTGAGCTCAGCACCGTTTTACACACCAACGTGGTGTTCCGGCGCGACGCCAACGGAGAGCCCATGGTGTTCCCCTACTACGGCAGCGAGCAGGAGCTGGCCAAGCACAACATGAAGCGTTCCACCGACAGCTGGCCCGACTGGGCGGTCGTGCCGGCCAACATGCTGGGCCAGGTGAAGGAGAGCGTGGAGTCCATGGTAAACCCTCCCCGCCGGCGCCGCGAGCTGGACCTCATGCAGGTCAAAGGGTAGGTACACACACTTGTTCACTTTGTTATACATTGCTCAGTGACACGCATTCAATGATACACACACAAATGCACCCACAGTCGCTTGCTCACTCACTCACTCAAACACTCACTCAGACATTACTTGTTCAGTCTTTCCACAGAATTGTCCTTAGATTTGATATTAGAGAGGAGAGTCAGAAGAGGACTTGATTGTTCAAGTGAATCCTTTCCTTCCCTCTTATTGGTCGAATTAACTCTCCCCTTTTCTGGTAGGTCGGTGGTATACCTGGAGATTGATAACCGCCAGTGCTACCAGCAGTCCACGGAATGCTTCCAGAGCGCCACCGACGTCGCCGCGTTCCTGGGAGCACTGGCCTCCAGCGGGAATCTCAATGTTCCTTACATTGAGGCCGTCACCAGTAAGTACCAACATACAGTATCTCTCCAGCTGAAATACTCTCCATTCAAAAATCTCTCTCTCATAAAATATGACTGTATGAAAGTATGAAAATAGACCAATAACTACTTTAATGCTTGTGATTTAGATGATGATGATGGTCACTTTATTTGTATCCATTAGGAAAAATGTCTGTGTCATACAGCATGCCAATATACAGATATTCACATAGACATACGTAGAGCACATAAACATTACATACATAGTACAAGAGTCGTAACCCCATTCTGACATGCTGTACTCTCCCTGCCCCTCTCTCCCAGGTGTGCAGCCCACCCCTGCATCCTCTGAGCTATACCCCATGTACGTGGTGTTCCTGGGGCTGGCTGTGCTGGGCTTCATCTGCCTGGGGGTGCTGGTGTCGCGAAAACGCCGACGGGAGCACGGACAGCTCTGGTTCCCTGAGGGCTTCAAAGTGTCTGAGCCCAGCAAGAAGAAACGCAGAGAGCCCGTAGGAGAGGACTCTGTGGGACTCAAGTAAGTGTGTCTGTGCGTGCGTGTGTGTGTTTCATGTGTGGCTTATCTAACTGGTCTTTCCTATGTCCATCAGGCCACTGAAGAACATTTTGGACATTTCTCTGATGGACGACAGCCAGAATGGATTGTGGGGAGAGGAGGAGCCAGACTCTAGACGCTTTAGGGTAAGAGATCATCTGAAACCTACACAGACCATGTACAACCACTAAATGTATAAAATAGTGTACACATCTGGAAATTGTTGAATTAATGTTAAATACATAAACAGATAATTGCCTTTGCCTGCATAATGTGTATTGTGTGGTCACAGGGATTGTACGGTAGTTGATGGACCATGTTTGTCTCTGTGTTAGTTGGAGGAGCCGGCCATGTTGGACCTGGATGACCGCACTGACCACAGACAATGGACCCAGCAGCACCTGGACGCGGCTGACCTGCGGATCCCTTCCATCGCCCCCACGCCTCCACAGGGAGAGATCGAGAATGACTGCATGGACGTCAATGTCCGAGGCCCAGGTGTGTGAGGATCTCTCTCTTCTCAATTTTTTCTCTCTTCTCTCTCTGGCATACCCCCCTTGTCACATGACTTGTCCCGTGTAGCTCAGTTGGTAGAGCATGGCGCTTGCAATGCCAGGGTTGTGGGTTCGATTCCCACAGGGGGCCAGTATGAAAATGTATGCACTCACTTAACTGTAAGTCGCTCTGTATAAGAGCGTCTGCTAAATGACTAAAATGTAAAATGTAAATGTAGAAGTAACATTAAAGATGTCCTCCAGTGATTAAAAAAACATACCTTTTCCTGTTGAAATGGGATATCCCAAGTATAAATAAATTAAAGTGCACACACTAAAGGGTAAATCAATATGTTATGAGCTAAATAATGTTTTTTAGACACAACTGCAAACTTCAAGGAGTAGGGCATTCAAGGAGTTGGTCTGATGGGAATTTGTGATGTCATTGGCCTCCACCCTTGCTTGAGGGACAATAGAGGAGCAATAACGAAAACAAAAGAGCAAAGGCCCATACCCCCACGCCCACCTATTGAGATGTGCCTTTTGTTAAGTAAATCAGGTGTTAAATGAGGTGAAAAGGAGTCTGGAGTGCCACTCCATGCCATTCCGTTTAAATAAAGTATTTCCCCTCGGTCCTAATGTGTGTTTTTTTTTTCTCTATCTACCACCCTTTCTCTCCCTCCATCCATCTCTCCGTCCATCCCTCTCTCAGACGGTTTCACTCCTCTAATGATCGCATCGTGCAGCGGAGGAGGCCTGGAGATTGGGAACAGTGAGGAGGAGGAGGACCCTTCGGCTGAGATCATCTCTGACTTCATCTACCAGGGCGCCAACCTGCACAACCAGACGGACCGCACGGGTGAGACCGCTCTTCACCTAGCCGCCCGCTACGCCCGTTCCGACGCCGCCAAGCGACTGCTGGAGTCCACGGCCGACGCCAACGTCCAGGACAACATGGGGCGCACTCCGCTGCACGCCGCCGTGGCCGCAGACGCACAGGGAGTCTTCCAGGTACTACTACAGTACTCTAGTAGTAGTGCTCCTTTGAATTAATAAATACATTCATTTTATATGCCACTTTTCATTTGTGGACTATCAAAATGCTTTTCTAAAGCATGTGCAAAAAGGTGCATTTACGTGAATTGAAAATGATATTATATACAATGCCATATGTAGCATTCCCTATTACCAGTTAAGCATTTGGACTTTGCTCTCAGATTTAGCCTGTACTGTACATGTTCACTAAAGGTGTCTGTCTTTTCGTTCAGATTCTCATCCGGAATCGGGCCACTGATCTTGACGCCCGCATGCATGACGGAACGACTCCTCTGATCCTGGCCGCCCGATTGGCTGTGGAAGGCATGGTGGATGAGCTTATTAACTGCCATGCTGATGCCAACGCCATCGATGACTTTGGTAGGTTACACTGATTTTACTTTGGTTGTATTCACATCATATCTCCCACACAGTGTACTAATGGAATTTGCCCTTAACCGGCTGACCCATCTTCATGGACTGTAGCCCTCATGGTCTAGGAATTTGCAGGTTATTTGAATTTGTATTAAATCATCATTCCTTTTATTTTTTTTATTTTTTTCTCCAGGTAAATCTGCCCTTCATTGGGCTTCAGCTGTCAACAACGTGGATGCTGCCATGGTGTTGCTGAAGAATGGCGCCAACAAAGACATGCAGAACAACAAGGTGAAAAACATGGCTCACACATCTCACACAAACATGGCTCTTACATCTCACACTAGTTGACACACTAGTGAAACTACTACTTGCCAACTTGTGTAGTTGTTATGTGTGTAATTGTTACATGCTCAATGGTGTATTTCGAAATGTTGAGAAATATACTAAAAGCTCATTGTGCAATGTCATTCCAGTAAATGCCACCATTGTTCAGGGGATCAAAGAATAATCACAATCGAATGTAAAATAAAGTATTGTATTAAAACATTTTCTCACTCACTGTTTGCTGTCTCTCTAGGAGGAAACTCCTCTCTTTCTGGCAGCCAGAGAGGGCAGTTACGAGACGGCCAAGGTGCTGCTGGAGCACTTTGCCAACCGCGAGATCACCGACCACCTGGACCAGCTGCCCCGGGACATCGCCCAGGAGCGAATGCACCATGACATCATCCATCTGCTCGATGAGTACAACCTGGTGAGGAGCCCAGGGCTCCATAATGGGACCCTGAGCGCCACCAGCCTGTCCCCACCTCTGTGCTCCCCCAACGGATACCTGGGCAGCCTCAAGCCCACCGCCTTGGGCAAGAAGGTCCGCAAGCCAGGCTTTGGAGGGAAGGACGGCGGCAAAGATATGAGGATACGGAAGAAGAAGTCCCTGGACGGGAAGGGCAGTCTGCTGGACAGCTCGGCCGTCCTCTCGCCCGTCGACTCCCAGGAGTCGCCCCACGGGTACCTGTCCGACGTGGCGTCGCCGCCGATGACGTCGCCATTCCAGCAGTCTCCGCCCATGTCGTTCAACCACCTGCAAGGCAGTGGAGACAGCCACCTGGGTCAGATGGGCATGGGCATGGGCAAGGGGCAGGACATTGGGCGTATGCCCTTTGACCCGAACCCTCCCCGCCTGTCCCACCTGCCCGTTTCCAGCCCCGGCAGCCAGGGAACCATCACTATGGCCATGGGCGGCGCTGGGGGTAGAGGACAGTGTGATTGGCACTCCAGGATGCACCCGGGTCTCGGGCAGCAGGGCGGCTTCAACCAAGGCCTTCCCATGATGGCTCCCCTCCACGGGGTCCCCACCGCCACCCTGTCCAGGATCATGGGCTACCAGGGCCTGCAGACCAGTCATCTGGGCACGCCGCCCCACCTCATGCAGCAGATGCACTCCCGGCAGAACCCACAGCTCCAGCATCAGAACTCCAACTCCACCACAGCCGGCCAGGTCCTGAGCCAGAGCTTCCTGAGCAGCGAGCTGAGCGGCTCGGACCTGCAGCAAGGCAACGGGGCAGGCCGCTCGGTCGCTATCCACACCATCCTCCCCCAGGAGACCCAGATTCTCGGCACACAGTTCCTCACCCCACCCTCCCAGCACAGCTATTCCAGCCCTATGGACAACACACCCAATCACCAGCTGCAGGTGCCTGACCACCCCTTTCTAACTCCCTCCCCCGGATCCCCTGACCAATGGTCCAGCTCCTCTCCACATTCCAATATGTCTGATTGGTCAGAGGGCATCTCCAGTCCACCAATGAGTTTGCATTCTCAGATGGGCCTTATCCCTAACCAGTTTAAGTAGAGTGGGTCACAGAGGACAATGGACAGAAGAACTCGTCAATAGGAAAACAAAACAAAAAATACTTTTAGATGGACAAAGGATAAGACAGCTGACCTGACTGAAGATTCTCCTTTTTTATTACCAATTTTTATACTAACGACAATAACTGTTTTTATTTGTATTTATTTATGTACTTTTTTGACATGATATAAAGAAGATGCTTTTATATTTATGCGTAAAAAAAATTGGAAGGGAACCTGGGCTGTGTGTGCGGGGAGACTGGACAGGGGGTCAGGAAAGGAGTATGTCTATCTACTGTGACTGAGACTACTGACTTATTGGTGTCTTATGTTGCTCTCATCACTGGATCGTGCACCAATTTTCACTGTTTTATTTTGGGAGTGCATTGTCATTATGATGCTTTGTATAATATATATTTTGTTGTAAAAGTTCCAGTATTAATTGATTAGATGTATAACCTCTTATTTTTTAACTGAAGCAAGTTTGTTACTGAACTACAATTCATTAAGTCTTAACACTGAGTATGTACTAGAGGATGGATGATCGAACCTGTGTCTTAAAATGTGTCCAAAATGCCACCCCTGTCAGTTAAACGGTTGGTGTCTGCGGTAAAATGAGTTTGGGGGATTTGAATGGGACCAGATTACTTAATCAGATTTTTTTTATTAAACAACGAGCGGTAGTATCTTCTGTTCCTCATCTGTTGAGTCCGTCTGGGAAACTGTGTTAACTGAAAGTGCAACGGTAAGCTGGGTTAAAGACAAATTACATCTTACACATGCCTTATTCTACAATGGTGTGTCACGGTTATTTTGCTTCTTTGAAGGAAAATATGTAATGTTTGGTGAGATTCCCAGTGAGTGTCCTCTAAATCGAGGATGCTTTTTGTGGAAGTTCTTCTTGTGTGTTTGACATCACCTGCGCTTTGTGGGGAGCATGGTTTAGGTGTCACGTTTATAAACTAGATCAGAGATAAGTGTTTAATTAATGTAATTCAAAAGTGTATGTACATGCAAAGTTTGCAAACAAAAGGTATTTCCTGTCAAAAATGAGTTGTGAAATATCATCTTGATTCAATAAAGGGCACTGTTAAGCTTACAGTTATGGATTTATTTTTGTATTCTTTATTAACGTTACATGCACACAATAATGTGATTATTGTGGGTAGTCAGATTAATAAAATAGTTAGATTAGAACGTTTACATGCTTTGCAAGAAGAACGATTTCCCTAATAATCCTGTTTACATGGACACATCTGAAATCAGGCTACCTGATGTGACTTTGATAAATGCAGTTAGTGCATTCATCTTAAGATAGCTAGCTGGGACAACCACATATCACAGTCATAGTAAGTACATTTTTCCTCAAAGTAGCTATCAGCAAAGTCAGAGCTAGTAAGGGGGAAATGCATTTTTTTCTCTTTATTCAACCCGCCCACCACCCACCCTCCCTTCATCCACACAATATTTGATGACCCTAAACCCGACTGCGGGTTATGAGTCAACTTGGCACTGCATTACTGTTTCTGACAGACACACAGAGACAAAGGATATTCACAGTTTACTAGGTATACCTGGGTCGGACCCCCCTTTGCCTCCATAAACAGCCTGAATTATTCGGAGCATTCTACAAGGTGTCTGAAACATTCCACAGGGATGTTGGTCCATGCTGACACGATGGCATCAAGCAGTTGCTGCAGATTGGATGGCGGTACATTCATGCTGCGAACAGCCCGTTCTATCCATCTGAAAGATGCTCTATTGGGTTGAGGTCTGGGGACTGCACAGGCCACTCAAGTAAACTGAACTCGCTGTCATGTTCCAGGCAGTAGCGGTGCGTGGGTAAAATCACTGGGCAAGCCAAACCAGTAAAAAAGCCAAATTACAACCTACAGTGAGGGAAAAAATTATTTTTATCCCCTGCTGATTTTGTAAGTTTGCCCACTGACAAAGACATGATCAGTCTATAATTTTAATGGTTGGTGTATTTGAACAGTGAGAGACAGAATAACAACAAAAAAATCCAGAAAAACGCATGTCAAAAATCTTATAAATTGATTTGCATTTTAATGAGGGAAATAAGTATTTGACCCCTCTGCAAAACATGACTTAGTACTTGGTGGCAAAATCCTTGTTGGCAATCACAGAGGTCAGACGTTTCTTGTAGTTGGCCACCAGGTTTTCACACATCTCAGGAGGGATTTTGTCCCACTCCTCTTTGCAGATCTTCTCCAAGTCATTAAGGTTTCGAGGCTGACGTTTGGCAACTCGAACCTTCAGCTCCCTCCACAGATTTTCTATGGGATTAAGGTCTGGAGACTGGCTAGGCCACTCCAGGACCTTAATGTGCTTCTTCTTGAGCCACTCCTTTGTTGCCTTGGCCGTGTGTTTTGGGTCATTGTCATGCTGGAATACCCATCCACGACCCATTTTCAATGCCCTGACTGAGGGAAGGAGGTTCTCACCCAAGATTTGACGGTACATGGCCCCGTCCATCGTCGCTTTGATTCTGTGAAGTTGTCCTGTTCCCTTAGCAGAAAACACCCCCAAAGCATAGTTTCCACCTCCATGTTTGTCGGTGGGGATGGTGTTCTTGGGGTCATAGGCAGCATTCCTCCTCCTCCAAACACGGCGAGGTGAGTTGATAATGACCACAAAACTTTCACCCAGTTCTCCTCTGAATCATTCAGATGTTCATTGGCAAACTTCAGACGGCCCTGTGTATGTGCTTTCTTGAGCAGGGGGACATTGCGGGCGCAGCAGGATTTCAGTCCTTCACGGCGTAGTGTGTTACCAATTGTTTTCTTGGTGACTATGGTCCCAGCTGCCTTGAGATCATTGACAAGATCCTCCCGTGTAGTTCTGGGCTGATTCCTCACCATTCTCATGATCATTGCAACTCCACGAGGTGAGATCTTGCATGGAGCCCCAGGCCGAGGGAGATTGACAGTTATTTTGTGTTTCTTCCATTTGCGAATAATCACACCAACTGTTGTCACCTTCTCACCAAGCTGCTTGGTGATGGTCTTGTAGCCCATTCCAGCCTTGTGTAGGTCTACAATCTTGTCCCTGACATCCTTGGAGAGCTCTTTGGTCTTGGCCATGTTGGAGAGTTTGAAATCTGATTGATTGATTGCTTCTGTGGACAGGTGTCTTTTATACAGGTAACAAACTGAGATTAGGAGCACTCCCTTTAAGAGTGTGCTCCTAATCTCAGCTCATTACCTGTATAAAAGACACCTGGTAGCCAGACATCTTTCTGATTGAGAAAGGGTCAAATACTTATTTCCCTCATTAAAATGCAAATCAATTTATAACATTTTTGACATGCGTTTTTCTGGATTTTTTGTTGTTGTTATTCTGTCTCTTACTGTTAAAATAGACCTACCATAAAAATTATAGACTGATCATGTCTTTGTCAGTGGGCAAACGTACACAATCAGCAGGGGATCAAATACTTTTTTCCCTCACTGTATGTTTTGATATAAACCGTTGTTTCCTCTATAACCCATTCGTTCATATGCCACCGTGATATACAATAAGGCCATGACAAAAAAAGACAGTTACACAGTGGAGGAATAAATTCAACTACACATATGTTTGTTTCATCACAAAACCGGAGAGCAACATCTGTCCGGTGAAGTCCACAAAGCAAATATTGCATGTAACAAAATATGACCTGCAGCATTGTCAAGCAAGTTAATGTTTTTGACAGTTTACTAAACAACTGCTGATTTAGAACCACGGCGGTTTACAGCAACTCAGCACAAAGACAACAGGCCTCTGTTATTTCAGCACCATTTCAACTTAAACATTTAAACATAATTAAATCAACAAGACTATATAGGCTTACTTTAATACACAGAAGAAAAAAAACATAGCCCAATCAATGTTGCTAAATATCATGTGGCTGTCCATGGGACTGATTTGTGTGTGTGAGTGCACGTGCGTGAAAACCATTGTTTGGGGTTGAACGACAATGCCGTCCTCCTCTCTTTCATGTTGGCAAAACAGTCTGTTCGCTTTTACTTTTTTTCATTGGCTACCTAGCTAAAATGCTTACTAGCCTAACTTCCTCGCATGGTAAATAATGAACTAGCTAAGTTAGCTAGCTAGTTAACGTGAGCCTACTAGGCTACATCTAGGCTACATATTGAACTTCAATCGTCTCAGGCCAGTGGCACAATATATTAATTTATGGTTAGGTCAGAATCGCCATCATAATCATTGGCCTGTACAGAGAATTAAGACACATTTTTCTGAAAATGATGACCTTTTGCTCAGGATGTGATTTGATTGGTGTGAAGCCAAATCCAAACTGGCCTCCCTTGGGGGGTGTTTTGCTGTGCCAGGACAACCCACAGTTGAGTTTGCTGGCATCAATCAATCAAATGCTACTTCGGCAACATGTCATACTCTTTTGTTCCAGACAGCATCAGATACATGGGCGCTGTTTCCCTCGCTCTGATGATTTCTCTGGTGAGATTCAGTAACTTGCGAATTGACAGAAAATTATGAAAACAGAGAGACGAAAGATCAATTATTATTTAGTTTTTGTTTTTTTATTGTTCAAATTGTTGTGGAAGCCTGGCTTCCCTTGGTATACATGAATACAAGCCACTGGTTCCAGGCAATGTTTTTCTACTCAATTGTCACGTGCCCACTGGAGCCGCTTCTTGTTTTTAGCTGATAGGAGAGGAAACCGGTATGGTCGTCTGCTACAATAGCCCATCTGTGTCAAAGATCGCCGAGTTGTGCTTTCTGCAATGCCGTTCTGCACACCACTGTTGTACTGTGCCGTTATTTGTCTGTTTGTGGACCGCCTGTTAGATTGCACGATTCTTGCCATTCTCCTTCGAACTCTCTCATCAACAAACTGTTTTCACTCACAGGACTGCCGCTGACTGGATGTTTTTTGTTTGTCGCACTGTTCTCTGTAAACCCTAGACACTGTCGTGCTTGAAAAGCCCAGGAGGGCGGCCGTTTCTGAGATACTGGATC